AAACACTCCTAGTAGGAAATTGATGTCTCTGCTTGAATTGCTGAAGAGAACTTATTAAAGTAGAACAGAACTCCCTTTGCCTGCCTACTTAGACTTTCAGGCTGTTTCAGAGATGTCAGGCTTGTCCTAAGCTTCCAGTTCAGACAAGGAAATTGTCTGGAAGGTCAGTCCAGTACTCGGTCCAGTCCATAGTTATTGAATTCAGAGAAGTAGCCATCCTTGCCACAAACTGTATTCAAACCCCAGGTGCCTTTTTATTGTTTCTAGTTCTTGAAAGAGCGTTAGTTGGAATCCTTTCAAAATGTTTAATTCCTTGAAGATGAAAAGAAAGCATTCCTGAGGGCAACTTTTCTCTGGAGTAATTTAAGAAGATGTGAAATGGTCAAGTATTTCAATCCATCTTGGGTTCCTAACATTCTCTCTCTCTCTTTTTCTCAAATCCCCTTGGTGGGTAGAAATGGTGCTACCTTCTACTCAAGTCAGATCCTGATCAGCAGTAAATTAATGGTGAGGGGATGGTAGGAAGAGAAGGAAAAACAGTCACCTATTCCTCAAAGCCCAGTCATATTATCCTGACATCCTGACAGCTTTTCACAGACTTCCTTTATCACATTACAATGTCAACTTTTACATATATTCAACAGCTGTTTCCTTATAGTTTTTTTAAACCTTCACAAGCCAGAATCCCAGATTGCCAGTCCTCCCTAGGACATGACTTCATGTGGACACATCCTGAACTTTGTTCCTCTAACACCAAATGAAATGCCAAAACCAGCTCAGGGTCATTGTCTGCCTATCCCTTATGTCCAGGCAGAGCAGAAAACATCCACAGAGTGCTGCTGGCCAAGGATGAAGTCCTCCAAGAAAAAATAAATAAACTGAGGTTAGCAATCCATCATTTGACCCCATGACACTTGTGGACTGAGAAATTGTGAACCAGGATTGTCATCTAAACCTGAGACTTAGCAATATCATTGAGTCTTTATCACTGGGATACAGGTTTCCAGTTACTTTTATTGTTGGTCATGATGAATTTGTTCTACCCAAACACACTTCTTACTGTCGTCCAAGTTGCCAAAGGAATAAGTTAGCACAGCAAAATAAACTGGCCTGCAAGAGAATCCCACCAAAGGTGACTTTGGTCCCTGGGGGCTCAGCTCCCCCAACCAGTGGCTCCCTTGGCAACCATTTTTGGGCTATTTACTATAAGAGGCATTTGAGTCAGCTCCATCCCTTCATGAAGGCTACCCTTCTTTGGCCCTCTTCTTATTTTCCTTATTTTCTAGGCCTTTCTCACTCCCCCTCCTCTGCCCCTAGCCAGTCTGGGCTTCCTGGTACACCTGCAGCCCAAACATTGCTCCAGTCTTCATAAACTCCCAAGAGTGACCCAAAGTTACCAGTAGAAAAATCAGCAGAGATGCTAAGTAGTCATCCCTGAGTACTAGAAACTACTTTCTGCAAATTGGACAGTTGGTAGGATGCAGGATATTCCTGAAATCTTCTGTAGGCATTCACAAGGCCAAACTTAAGGAGCATTTCCAACTCTCTTGCAGAACAGACACACTCCAAGGCCAAGAGATAGTGTAACCCCTGAGTAACAGGCTTTATTTAATAATATTTCCCTAGCAAGAGTTTGTTCCTTTCTCAGAATAGTTGAGCAGAAAAACTTTCTGGGTTCTGGCTAGTGTCTCTAGAATATTGCATTTGAACCTGCTTGTATTAATATTGTTGAAGTCTATAAAATATAATATGAATTTCAGATTGCTCATATTCAGATTACATTGGTTGTAGATTATTTTTTGGAATTTGAGTCTGCTCCCTCCTCATCCTCTTCTAACCCCTGCCCTTGTAATCCCCTCTTCTAAGATTCTGAGGCTGAGTATATATGATAGTTTAAACATACATTTTTGATTTTGACTTTCATTGTTACTGTTCTTTTCAGAGTCATGCAGCATGCTGCATTGGAAGGAGTCCTGCCAGGGATTCAAAACACCAACATTTTAGTACAAACTACCATTACCAGATGTGGAATTTTAGGTAAATCACTAAAGGCCTCCATTTTCTTGAGAAAATGTAAAATAGGGGCTTATACTAGACCATTTTAAGGGTCTTCTCTTTTTAATATCTTGACAAGAATTCCAGTATTTGTCATTAAAACTGTTTTGAGTAGATTTGGGGCACTTCTATAATCTTTACAAGTGTAGCTAGACCATAAAGGACCCTTCAGCGTTACCCCCAAACACAAATTGAGTTGGGTGGAACACCATATAAACTTTGTTATTTTAGTGCCTGTAATTTTAGTCCCCAGTTCTCTCATTTAAATATGATTTTAAAACATTCAAAATGGTTAAGTACTATGCTCTTATAAACTATATTTTTACCATTATGTTTTATTATTATAAAGTGATTTCCAAGAAGGGTCATTCTGCTGCAGAGAACTTCTGGGCCCATATTTATTTCCTTTACACCACGACTTAACCTCCACATGAAGCAGAGGGAGTCCCTGCATTGTTTTGGTTGGGTCAGCAGTGTCTTGGGGGAAGATGGACAGTCACATGGAGTCGGGATGAGATCCCCCCACTTCAACTTTCTTCCTAATCACTGAAAAGACATCAGGTGAGGCTACCATTATTCTAATCTCTAAATTCTTGCTTAGAATCAGACCTTAGTTTCTTATTTTTCTCCTAATTTACTTTCTTATAATAACTTCTTCATTCTTCTTGTAATATCACAAAAATCTGTGATTATAAGCTAGCTGAACAAAGACCACATCATATTCAGTATTTAGAAATATCAGATGCCTGGTTGGTAATCAGAACTTAATAATAGTAATAATAATAATTAATGCAAATACTAACATAATGGCTAAGAAAGAGCTCAACAGTGTCAGAGCAAAAATATTTGTCCATTCAATTATAAATATTATATTCAATAATATAATAATAATAGTATTGTTATATTTAATAATAAAGGGGAAAAGCCTTGGATAATAATCAATAATACCAAAGACAATTGGGATATATTTTAATATAGTTGAATTGCAAAGCCATTATTTAATAGCTTTGACTTTTGCCTCACAATTGGGAGCAAACAAAAATGTGAATGTGTGTATTTAGCAGAGGCTCTATTGAGTAACAATTATTAATGGGCTCAGGGTCAATGCCAGGGTGAGAAGCAAATGCAAATGAATGGCCTGGTGGTCCAGAGGCTGCTCAGAGCCTGCTGTGTTGCATATCAGCACAAATCCTGTGTAAGGTCTTTAGCCAGTCGACCCTTGCAGGGCACTCAAACCCATTCTTGGTGATCTCTGGCTGGACCAAGTTAGGACTGTTTAGACAGCATGACTAAATTTAAGGGGAAAGAAATACAATTCCAGCTTCTGGCATGGTCCACAAACCAGTGCTGGATCTTAAGCATCCCTTAGACCATCGGTGTGCTTCCCAATCACTTCTTTCCTATATCCTCCAGAAAAATCCATGCTAATGACTCAATGAAGTGAAATTACCTTCTTCTCCTTCCACCACCTCAAATGACTTTCCCAGTTTTGCTATTCTTGCAGATTCTGGGATCTTCCTCCTGTAATAGACTGATTCCAATGAAACCCCAATGCAGATTCTTAAACACACACACACGCACATGCAACATACCTGGTTACCCTCAGGATAGAGTGCAAATTCCTTAAGCCCAGAGCTAGTCAGGAGATAAGCTGTGCCTCCAGGCTCATTTCTTAACTCCCTTACCGGAGGAAACCTTTGTCCCAGGCAAATGGAACCAGCAGCAAATCCTTGGACTTGACAGCCTTGTCTTACCTTTAATCACTTTAATCAAGCTTCTTCTGCCCAGCCTGCCTCCTTATCTCCATGGAGTACTTCAGTGCATCCATCAAGACCTCAACCAAAGTTCTCTCCAACTATGATTGTATCAAAACCATATGTTGATATGTGGTCAGCTGCTTGAGGGTAATGGCTATTGTATTCATGCTTGTTTTCTCCTTTCAGGTTTCATCTCCTATTATTGCGCTTGACCTTTCTATTCTTTCTCCATGCCAAGTCTCTGAGTCTCTGGCTCTTCCCTTTGTGGAGAGATCCCTTCCCTGTCCCCATACCTGCTCTTCACAGGACTGGTTAATTCATCATTCAGCTCTCAGCTCAAATGTTACTCTTCAGAGAGGCAGTCCCTACTGTCCCAGATTTATAGTCCCCCCTCCCACATCCTCCCAATCATTCTCTTATCATCCTGTTTCATTTCTGCTGAAGCATTCATAACCATCAGAAATGGTCTTCTTTATCTCCATGTTTATTTGTTCCTTTCCTCAGTTCTCCCACCCCTTACTAGAACATATTCCACTGCCTAGGATGCAATAACCTTGTCTTCTCATTCACTCATGTAGCCCTAGTGTCTACAATAGTGCTTGATACAGAGTAGGTATCAGGAAATGTCTTTGGAATTATTGTATCATATTTAGGGGTTACAACTGTGGGAAGGGGCATAAGCCCAGTTACAAGTATAGGTTTCCCGGTGAGTGAAAATAAAAAGGTGTAGGCATCCTCATCAACGTCCCCCCATTCCCACCTCTTCAGCAACTCTGTCCTGAGTCATCATTTGAATGTTTTTACCTTTTGTCTTTCACAGCTGTATTTGCATGTCCAGAATGTGTTAAGCTTTTCAAAGCCTTTTAGAGCATATTCACTGGAACCAAACCATTTAGGTGCAAGTCTCAGTTCTGTCCATGTATGACCTTGGGCAAGTAATTTAAGCTCTCTGTGCCTTAGTTTACACATCCATAAAATGATGCCTGCCTCAAGGGACTGTTGGGATGATTACAATAACATATGCAAGACACTCAGAACAGTAGCCATAGTAAGTACAATATACATGTTAGTCATTAATATTAGTTGTTTTCTATCATGTGGAGACAGGACACAATTGACAAATCCAAATAAAAGAAGTATCTGTGGGATAAATGTGATGGGGAAAGTGTGTGTGACAGAGAAATGAGAGCAGCAGGACGTTTGCTTCCAGGAATTCAAAACAATATGATTTATTAATTATACATTTAGATATTTGTAATACACACATACATAGGAAATATGAAAGTTATTTAGCATACCTCCATGATTTTGTGTTGATGTTATAAATTTTATTTTAAAATAGTTTAACAAAACCCATCTTGCATTTTAATATTTTAAAATAAAATCCATGATATCAAAATCTCAATCATCTAAAAATTTGTAAAAACCATGATTCAAGTCAATAATTGTGTTTTGAGATTTGGTGGGTAAACATGATTTCATTTGTCTATAAAGAATTTACTCTGTTTCCTTCTGGCTTCTTCAAGGTTTTCAAAAGTGATCACGCCTCTTGGCAGCTGCAACTTACTCTTTTCTGTTTCCAGTATGTTCTCAGCTTCACCTTAAATAAAGTACAGAAATATGCAAGGTGACAAAAAGGTCATTAGTGTTTTGTGAAAAAGCCAAATTGCTATATTCCAGTGACAAGCTGTAACACTGTGTGGAGGCATGCCTCTAAATCTCACACTTAAATATTTCACCTGTTGTCCTCAGGAGAAGCCATCTCCCAAAGGGAGGGCATGCTTTCCTTTGGGAGGAAAAAGGAATTCTGAAGACTGAGAGAGAGAGATCAATCAGGGGCACCTGGATGGCTCAGTTGGTTAAGCCTCTGCCTTTGGCTCAGGTCATCCTGGGATCAAGCCCCACATCGGGCTCCCTGCTCAGCAGGTCTGCTTCTCCCTCTCCCTCTGCCACTCTTCCCTGCTTGTGTTCTCTCTCTCTCTCTTAAATAAGTAAATATATAAATAAATCTTTGAGAGGTCAATCAGATGCCATAGGTTTTACTTGACAGAAGACAGCATTTTAAGATGTAGAAGAGAAAGAATACCAAGTAATATTTTTTTCCTTGAAGGAAAGTCAGGACGGTAAGCATTAGTTGTGTTTGGAGGGGTTTGGGACGGAGAAACCAAATATAGTCTTTGCTGTATTGCCCCTTAATATGTGACATGAGAGAAAATAAAGCTTAATAAATTTCTGCTTTTCCAGGAAAGCTATCTTTTACCTGAAACCACTTGTAAATACCCAAAATAATATTAAATGTTCTTTAGTCTGTATACATACATGCACACAAGTATAAGCATTTTTAAAAAAGATTTTATTGATTCATTTGACGGAGAGACAGTGAGAGAGGGAACACAAGCAGGGGGAGTGGGAGAGGGAGAAGCAGGCTCCCTGTTGAGCAGGGAGCCCGATGCGGGGCTCAATCCCAGGACCCTGGAATCATGACCTGAGCCGAAGGCAGACGCTTAATGACTAAGCCACCCAGGCGCCCCAAGTATAAGCATTTTTATAAACAATTCCTCTTTCAAGTAACAGCAAGTAATTTCTTAGGTCCAGTTGAAGACTAATTAGCAAAATTAAAAAAAAATTATAGTATACATTGTTGACATTCTATAAACCTTCCTTGGGAATGAAAGCAAATGTTTCTTTTTAAGTACTTCTCTTTTAGCACACAATTAAGTTATACTCCAGACAGAATAGGGCAGGCTACAATTTTGAAATTATAACATTTCAACCATCTGCAATCATATTTTTTTTTGCTCAGTCTTAAATAGTAAATAAAAATCATTATAAATTGTATGTAATTAGACATGGGGCACCTGGGGGGCTCAGTCGTTAAGCGTCTGCTTTCGGCTCAGGTCATGATCCCAGGGTCCTGGGATGGAGCCCCGCATCGGGCTCCCGGCTCAGCAGGGAGTCTGCTTCTCTCTCTCCCTCCACCCCTTCCCCAGCTCATGCTCTCTTGCGCTCTTCTCTCAAATAAATAAATAAAATCTTTTAAAAAATATATGTGATTATACAGGCCTCTAACAACTGACTAAATGTTTCCATGTGAATGTGCCTCACATTTGGCAAATTCTCACGTGTTTGCAGAAGGGCTAATGATAAAGTCCGTCAAACAAGGACTGGGTATATCTTGGGTTTATCACTAGTTAACAGGGCTAAATGTTAAAACCTAAACTTTCAAATACCGCAAATTTCCTGGTAGACTGTAAAGTTGTATTTTTTTTAAACAGGAAATTCCCACCTGTCTTAAAAGTTTAAAATTGTATGTTCTGTGGACTCTGATGGACCTGTAATAAAATTACTTCCCAAATATACAATCATGATGTTCCTAGAAAATAAACTTGTTCTCTATTAGTAATATGTTCAAGTGAATGCTGATTAATTTTAATTTTTATGAGGCACTGAGAATTCTAATGTCCATATAAACAATGAAACAGAGTTGAACTCAGACTAATGAATTCTTAAGCAGATGAGTAACATGAAACTGAATGGGTTATTGAAATGGGCTTTAACATTGGCAAATCAGTTGTGTAGTTAGTTTCCAGCTTAAAATGGGATTAGACTCCAAAATTTAGTTTGTATATCAGTGTTTTAGAACTCGAAATACATTTTCCCATAGTGATAATGCAAGAAATCACTTGCTAGGCCGCCAACAAAAAACTGTTCAGTCCACAATATAGCTGAACTATGATACCGATAGTGCTTGATCCCAACGGACCTTTTAGCAGAGTTTCTGTGTGGAAAATGTATTTCCATCTTCAATGGGAATTTTTAAGGACATATAATCCTTGTATCTCCCTAGGCCTGGGAAAGAGATGTTCTACTCCCTACTCCCAATACCTGCAGAGGAGTCGGCACTTCCTCCTTTCCTGTACCAAATCAGTGCCCACAGAGCTTTAGCGATAGTGATGTGCCCATAGATATAGCCCAGGAGAGGAAAGGATGGCAAAAATGAAGGCTTGGGAAAGCACAGTTTCCAATATGCTTTGGGTTGAAGCCTCGAGAAGAAGGGACACGGGCCCCATGAGAGAGTCTTCCTGGTATGGGAATGAATTCTGTGGCAGCGGTGCTATTTTCTAGGGCAGTCAAAGCCAGAGTTTGTGAGAGCAGCATGGTGCGGTGATTATTTAACAACCAGCTCTCCAGAAAAACAAATGTACATGAGTTATAAACTTATGAACATAAGTTTATTATAAATTTTACTTATATAAAATAGATGTAGCATATAATTTATAAAAAATAATGAAATGTTCAATATACTTTATTATAAATTTCACATAGCAAATGGATTCTCACGGAATGTTTTTACTGACTTCTGTTGGACTCTCATATTCATAGCTAAGCTATAGTTGCAATTGATGAGGGACTATAATTCCAACATGAATGATGGTGGTATTTTCATTTACCCTAACAAATAGGACAAAAGTGGAAACAATGACATATGTTGGAAATTTTTTTGTTTGGAAATGATGTAAACAACTTGGCTGAGTCTGATAACAGTTTTTAAATGTTAGGAGAATATTTCCTCAATTGTTTGTGCTATTCACAATGTAATGGCTACTGACACAACAAAAATTTAAGCATAATCTGCAGTATTTAACATTTGCTTTATCACTTCCTTAAATCTAGACTATGGGTTGGCAAGTTTTCTTAAAAGGGCCAGACAGTAAATATTTTAGGTTTGTGGGGCCTTGTATCTCTGCTGCACTAACTCAGCTGTCATGGTAATGGGAACACATCCATAGACAATTCAGAAATGAATGGGCATGTCTGTTTTAATAAAACTTTACTTTCAAAAACATGTGGCCACCCTGCAGGCCATAATTTGCCAAACCCTGGCTTAGACGGTCAACAAAATAATAATTCAAGCCTTTTTGTGGTGTTTGCAGATTCCTTGGTATAAATATTCCCACCACGACCAACTTCATGCCACTGAAGTTGGAGTTGTATCTGTTATCTTATTGTGTGTGTATTGTATCTGTACCCTATCACACAGGTACAATAGATATACGTAAGACAGATACACATAACTTCAGAGTATAGATAAGAGTAAAATAATGAAAAACTGATAAGTTCTGAGTATTATTGCCATTGTTTTTAATATAATTTAATATTATTTTTGTAATTTATTTAATTGTAAGTTTATCTAATTTAATGTTTAATAATGACTGTATTTAACAACCAGCTTACAAATTCCTGAAAATTTGATAGTCAGTTCTTGTGAGCTGGAATGAGCTGACTCCAGCATACTGCTGTGAGAGGGAGCAGAAATGTTGGCCATTGGAAGCTCAGGGAGAGGCAGTCTTGTCAGAATGTTCATAAATCAAGGGTCATAAGAAGAGGACCCTTGAATCAGAAAATGAATCAGGAATACATTCTAGTTTATCAAAGACTGACCTTTCATTCTTTGTAGAAGGGTTCCATATCCTAAGTCATACTGGTATGTGAAGATGAAGCTTAATGGAATAATAGGGAAGAGGAAGGCTGGCTTCTTCCTTCTTATTGCTCTGGTTCAAGAACAAAAAGAAAAAAATATTAAGAATGACCTGTAAATACGTATCTCTATACTCAATGAAAAAAAAATTACCTGCTTTTTCAAAGAATGTTCTCCATTTTAGAAGTTACTTAGTTCATTTGAGTCTCCTATGGAAATAGGATTTTCTTACCCACCACGCCTCACCAGATTCTGCAATTCTCAAGGGCAGAATTTGTGATTTGCCCATCTTTGTTTGATGTTGAGGCTCAGATTACTCATTTAAAAAATGGTTAAGTATTGATATCTGCCCCTTAGGGATTATGGAGATAAATTTGCAGAGGCCTTCTTCTATCTTGGTGTCAAGTCAGTCCTCTCTCTAACTTACATAATGGAGACAAGGATGGAAGAAATCTGAGGAACTAGAGGTAGAATTGACTATTTCTACCCTGGTTCTACAGTCACTTCCAAGTGCTAAGCTATAAGGGGTTATATATACACTATTTGGACCAAAGTCCTATCTTGGCCAACTTGATAGTAATATGATAATGTCAAAAACAAAAAGAAGCAAATTATTTAAGAAAAATTTAAAGTAAATAGCAAACATACCCAGCTGTTAAAGAGATGGCTGCAATGCCAAAAAAAGTTCCAAAATATTTGAGGAATTCCCGAGACCAAGCAATCTGCAAGGCCATTTGTCTTTCTCTCATTTCATTCTGCATCATTAGCTGCCTTTCCAGCTGAGAATGAAACAAATGACAAAGTCTGGTTATTCATCTTTTGATTCTGAGCACAGAGTTAATAATCTGCTTTTCCAGGGGATTTTCACACTTCAGTTGCTTTGATTTGTCTTTTTTTTTTTTTTTTAAATCTCAGTAGACTTTGACTAAAGCTCTTCTGGATAGCTATCCCCACCTGTCACCTTGGCAGTGAAATCTTCCTGGAATATATACAGAATAGATGTGGTATTCTTCTTCTGTGTCCTGAGGTCTCGAATGCGTGTGGTCTGGGGCTTTTATTCAACCCTAAAATACATGTTCAGTATATTCTGTCACATGTGAGGAAAGATCTATGTGCCTTTAAATGCAGGTACCTCTTATTGATCTTTATTACAACTTGCACTGAAATTATTTTGCCTTCCAAGTTTATCCAACTGCAAATTGACATTCATGTGGAGTAGCAGGTCCATATCATATTATGGTAAGATGGTAGAGGGTATTCTTCTGAGACATCAATGGAGATTTTTCTTTGCCACTATTCTCTTGATGCCTCAAGTCCTTTGTCACTTTAGTCAGTGTCTTTCACTGCAGTGGAGCAGAAAGCAGGTATAGCCCAGAACACAGAAGGAGACTGGATTTCTGGATGGATTTTTAGAAAACACACAAGAGAAGCAACAGTGTAGAAGCCTATTATTTTGAGAAAGATTCTTGAGAGAGAAAAGTTTTTTAAATTCTAAAACCTTGGCACTGTGTATCATTAGCAGAACCTAGAGGAGAGCAAGCATAGAATTCATGATGTAGACCATAGGGTGGGGAGGAATGAGTAATAATGTGACTCAGTTTTCTCTTCTTGCCTTCTTTAAACTGTGAGAGGAAACTGGAAGAGGAAAAAGGAGACTTTAGATATAAAGATGGGGCTTGGTTCCTTGGCCTCTCTTAAGGGTTGAAACACTGGAGAGTTGTGATGGATTTGGGATTTGGGAATCCCTGGACAGAGAGCACTTGTAGACCTATATTCTGTCAAGAATTCTGGGAAGGGGCAACTAAAGTAGAGCAGAAATGGTTTCAGGGCAGATCTAAGCTTAGAGCAGATCTGAGAGAGGCCAAGGGGTGTGGAGAATGTTTGCAAGGTTCCCATATCAACCTGAAGAGGGGCACAGTTGGTAGCTGAGAATTGAAAGCAGGTGGCTTACCAGGTGGTCACCAAAACCTAGAGACTGGGGACCCTTTACAGACACTTAGGTAGAGGCCATAAAACAAGTGCTGGGCAGGGAAAGTGGCTAGATGTCAGAGGATTAGCAGTACCCTAGAGTGCAGAGGTGATGGCCAAACCAACCTGAAACATGGTGGAACACCCAGAACAGATCACCTGGCACTGCCCAGGTTGATCAAACAGAAAATAACTACAGAAGCCTCCTCCAACCAGATGTGCCTTCCCCGTGACCATGCCACTAGAGCTTACTTGGACTCAAACTGAGATGGGGCAGGGAAAAAAATGGACAGAGAAGAGGAGAGGGCCAAGCTGAATTTTAAGAAGTGAGTTTTAAGGTGAAGTAAGTTTTAAGGTGAGTCCCTTTGACTTGTCAAAATTAAATTTGCCCTCAGCAGTAGAAATTGAAGTTCATTTTGGGTTCAGTTAGAGAGTAAATAGTGTTTTTGCATACATGATTATTTAGCATGTGAAATTCATCCTTGCTATATTACATATTTAAAAAACTTACATGATAGTTCATAGTATCCCTCCAAAGTGATGTAGAATGCATGAATTAATCATTTGTGTTGTTATCAAAAGGCAGCTGAATCCAGTCACGACACAGATGAATGCAAGATCAGTGGTTCTGAATCTTAACTGCACATTGTGAGCATCTAGGGAGCTTTTCAAAATCTCAATGTCCAGGCCCACATGTCAGACCAATAAAATCAGGAGGGACCAATGAAACCAGGATCTGGAGTTAGGACCAGTCATTAGTATTTTTTAAAGGTTGCCACGTAATTCCAGTGTACAGCTAGGATTGAGAACCACTGCCTGAAAAAACTCACAGCCTAGGTTTTTCCCACCAGAGATCAAGCTGAAATATCAGTCTGAAAACTGATCCTCTTGGAATTCTCAAAAGATTGGGGACAGAGGGCTTTTTAAGGTGGTGGAACCCATCTGTATGGTACTGTCATGCTGGATACGTGATACCTGCATTTGTCAAAGCCCTTTAAACTTCACAGCACACAGTGAACCTCATTGTATACAGTAATGGGGCATCCAAGATGGGATTCTGGCACAGAAAAAGGACATCAAGGAAAAACTAATGAAATTTGAATATGGAATTTATTTAAAAGTGAAATACCAATGTTAATTTCTTAGTTGTGACAACTGTGCCATAGTAATGTAAGATATTAACTGTAGAGTATAGAAAGGGTAGGGTATTCAAGAACTCTGTCCTCTTTTTCTATAAATCTAAAAGTGTTCTAAAATTTATTTTTAAGAATGGTTATGAACAAATCCTATATTCTAGGTCTCTTCTACTGATAAGAATAGAGGCACGTATCTCCATATATCATAGATAAATTGTGAAAATCAGCAGGATTGTGTAACTGCAACAAACTCTGAGACTAGAGTAAAAAAAAAAAAATCTACGCATACCTTTTCCATGGGCAAAAATTTCCTGATGAAAGACGTCATTGAGCTATAATTTTAATTATCAATTAAAGCTCTATTAACTACCTGTACTTCATAAAATTATGCTTAAAATCATAGGTCTAGATCTAAATACATTTAAAAACTCAAATTAATAAGGGGCACCTGGGTGGCTCAGTTGGTTAAGTGTCTGCCCTCAGCTCAGGTTATGATCCCAGGGTTCTGGAATGGAGCCCCGAGTTGCATCCTGCTCCCTGTTGAGCAGGGAGTCTGCTTTCTCCTTTCCCTCTGCCTGTCCTCCTGCTCGTGCTCTCTCTCTCTCTCAATCTCAAATAAATAAGTAAAATCTTAAAAGAACCAAATTAGTTAATAATTTATTACCAAACTTCTTCAGTAGCCATAAAGGGATAATTATGTTGAGGCAGTTGTTAATTTATCAATAATAGGCATCATGTAACTAAGTGTACATTCATTTTCACCGTTCTTCTCCCAATATTGACACTAATGAGAAATAAGAGCAAAAGAGAACATGTACAGTAAGTTTCCTTAGCAGTCTTTAACCCAAATCATAAATGTAAAATTCTTTATTTTATTTTAATTAATTAATTATTTTTAAAGTGATTTTAAAAGACTTGTTTACAAGAATGTTTAATTATAACTCTGTGGTCATATGCCCAGGAATAATAACTAAATCTATGTTAATTTATTTTCCTCCTTTGTTTATGTATTTATTTATTTATTAGAAAATCAATTAAAATATAGTGTATTATTAGTTTCAGGGGTAGAATTTAGTGATTCATCAGTTGCATACAACACCCAGTGCTCATTACATTAAGTGCCCTCCTTAATGCCCATCACCCAGTTACCCCATCTCCCCACCCACCTCCCCTCCAGCAACCCTCAGTTTGTTTCTGAATTAAGAGTCTCTTATGGTTTGCCTCCTTCTCTGATTCCGTCTTGTTTTATTTTTCCTTCCTTTCCCCTATGTTCATCTGTTTTGTTTTTCAAATTCCACGTATGAGTGAGATCATATAATTGTCTTTCTCTGATTGACTTACTTCACTTAGCATAACACCCTTTAGTTCTGTCCATGAGGTTGCAAATGTAAGATTTCATTCTTTTTGATGGCTGAGTAATATTTCATTATATGTATATACCACATCTTCTTTATCCATTCATTTGTCGATGGACATTTGGGCTCTTTCCATATTTGGGCTATTGTGGACATTGCTGCTATAAACATTGGGGTGCATGTGCCCCTTTGAATCACTATGTTTGTATCCTTTGGATAAATATCCAGTAGTGCAATTGCTGGGTCATAGGGTAGCTCTATTTTTAACTTATTGAGGAACCTCCATACTGTTTTCCAGAGTGGCTGCACCAGCTTGCCTTCCCACCAACAGAGTAAGAGGGTTCCCCTTTCTCCGCATCCTTGCCAACATCTGTCGTTTCCTGACTTGTTAATTTTAGCCATTCTGACTGGTGTGAGGTGGTATCTCATTGAGGTTTTGATTTGGATTTCCATGATGTGGTGTGATGTTGAGCACTTTTTCATGTGTCTGTTGGCCATTTGTGTATCTTCTTTGGAAAAATGTCTGTTCATGTCTTCTGCCCATTTCTATTTTAAAAGAATTTTAGATCTTTTCATAATATTAATTTTTTTGTCTCTATTATTTTTTGGTATTGCTTTACGGAACAATTTGAAATTAGAATGTTTCAGATTATGACTTCAGACTAGTGAGCTTACACGTTTATCTGATACTACTTTAACAATTATAGAACCATAGTTAATTTTAAACAGAACATAATAAAAGGGAGCTAGGTTATTAGAAATAACTGTATATAGTAGGAGAAACCACATTCTGACCATCTGCATAAAACTGTTATATCTGCTCTTTCTTGTGTATTTTAATTCTTCAGTTTCTTTGTTTAAAAAATATTAAGAACAGCCACAAAATTACTGATCTCAGTAATTTGTCGATCTCTTGAGTTTCAGAAGGGACAGTTACATAAAGGTCCACAGACCACTTAATGCAAGTTTTCCTTGCATTTTGTATTAACAATAATACAATGATTAAATTTTACTTGGACACATAAAACATTTTCAGAGCACAGAGAAGGCAATGACAGTGTCCTATAAATTATCTTCATTGCATTTTTTTATATTGAAGCCTTTTCTATTTTGAGAAATAATTAGGCCATTCTCAAAAAAATTCAATTATTTCTGTGTTTTTAGTTTCCAGTGGTCTCTTAACTTATGCATAATGTATTCCCAAGTAACAGAAAAGTTCTGTTTTTATTTGCTTCATTGGGCAATGCCAAAAAGTATTCTATGTGTCCTGCCACAAAAGAGGTTTATTTTTACCAGAAATGAAAATATTTTGTATTTGTC